TCAGCTTGGCTTGGTTCTGACCATTGCAGTCGTTTTGGAAGTAAAGATCTTTCCACGCCCTCCTCCCCCCCCACCCCCGCCAGCTCTCCCTGTAATTCTGCTTTTTCAAATAAAGGTATTTTTTTAAAAAGGATTTATTTATTTATTGGAAAGTCAGATATACAGAGAGGAGGAGAGACAGAGAGGAAGATCTTCTGTCAGATGATTCACTCCCCAAGTGAGCGCAACGGCCGATGCTATGCCGATCCGAAGCCAGGATCCAGGAACTTCATCCGGGTCTCCCACACGGGTGCAGGGTCCCAAGGCTTTGGGCCATCCTCGACTGCTTTCCCAGGCCACAAGCAGGGAGCTGGAAGGGAAGTGGAGCTGCCGGGATTAGAACTGGCGCCCATATGGGATCCTGGTGCGTTCAAGGCGAGGACCTTAGCCGCTAGGCCACGCCACTGGGCCCCTCAAATAAAGGTATTTTTAAAAAAGACTTATTAGAATGACAGAGAAAGGGAGAGCAGAGAGATCTTCCATCTACTGGTTCACCACAGCAGCCAGGTGACCCACACACTCAGGCTCTCTCTGCTGCTCTCCCAGGTGCATCAGCAGGGAGCTGGATTGGAAGTGGAGCAGTGGGGATGCAGGAGGCTGGCATCACCAGGGGTGGCTTGGCTGTGAGCTTCCTCCTCTTGGGAGAAATCAGGGGCTGGCTCACAGCTGCTTTAATATGGAGTCTGGTAGCTGCCAAGACTTCAATATTGGACAATGTTCTGTAACCACAGAGACTCACAGCTTTCCTCCATGGACTGGGTGGGTTGATTCTCAATAGCAACTGGCTGAAAGTGAAGGCCAGGTGTTGTCCAGAGGGGGCTGGGGGGCTGGGATCCCGCGTGTCTCCGCTGACCTCACCCCTGGACATCATGCACCTTAGGAATCACCTCAACAACCAACACTTCTTAACCTCAGGTTGGGCTCGGGGGTGGGCTTTAAAAACCAGAGGATACCCCAGACCCATTTCCCAGTCTCTGGGCTGGGGCCCGTGATGAATACTGGGGAGCTTCTGGGTTGAGTGTCTGCTGGTGACAGGAGAGGGGCTCCCTGATGCCCCTCCCTTGGATACTATTTATTCAGTATCATGCCAAGTACCTGGGTCCCAGATGCAGGGCTGGGCCAGAGGGGCACGTGCAAGCACAGGGTGGGAACCCAGGGCTGTGGATTCGCGCCTATATATGGAGTCCCACAGCCAAGCTAACACATGACCTAATCTGCTGACAGTCTCACCCAGGCTGGGGCCCAATCTGGAGAGTGGCTCACCTGCCCCCTCCGCCCCTGCGGAGGGAGTTCCCTCGTGGGCAGAGAGGGGCTGGGAGGGCTGGTGGGGGACAGGACACAGTGATCCAGACTGGGAGAGCCACAGGGCAGCTGCAGTCCCTGCCTCCCCCGCTGTCATGCGAATGACCACTTTCTCTGTTTGACCAAGGACACACAAGAACCCAGTTTGTTTTTCAAAGTCCGTTTAATACAACATGAAAAGGCTAGTGTCTATAGGAAAAGCTGTATACAGATTTTCCAGGAATAAGGCACACGACGGAATGCCATCCCAGGGGCAGCCTCCCAGCTGCGCCCATGGGCTATGTTTGTCTTCTGAGCTGGACACACACGTATTAATAGACACAAACACGGACAGAGTCATCGCACGGAAATGGGGAAGGCCAGCTGGCCATACGGCCGTCTGGAGCGATGAATCCCGTGCCACCGGTCCACTTGCTCCCCTTGCCGATGGCTGGAACACCCCCAAGCTGCAGAGTTAGTTGTGGCACTGGGCTATGATGTAGTGAGGTTGGATTAAATAGTCGTTAGAGTCAATTCAAGTCGGTTAGACACAGGTGTCAGGGCTCATGGACAAATCTAAGTTCAAAGAGCCCAGGCTTGGTTCAGAGAGGGTAAGGACGAGCCTGCCTCCTGCCCCCCCTTTTCTCTTTGACCCTTGCTGCCTGCGAGCGCCCCACAACACAAGTCAAACTGAGGGGGCTGGCAGGCCACAAAGGGGCAAACGGTCACACATTTCTGCTTCCCTTGCTCCCTCTCTGCCCGCCCCACAGAAGTCATAAAACAGCAATTACAAAGTAAGTACGTGCAAGGGATTACAAGGTTGTGTTGGTTATCCAAAACCAGAAGAGGCACAAACAGGTCACCAGTCCCTTTTCCACTGTGTTATCTAACACCTAGTGTCCCTTCAAAAGAAAAAGGCAATACTTTCCAAAAATACACATATGTATAAATACAGGACAAGAACATATTAATACTTCTAAATACTTGAAGAATATGCTGGCTACTTAATACTGATATTTTCATCCAAGGCAACACAGGATAATAACAACATGACTTTAAGAATTCCAAAGACTTTTTTTCTCATCAGAATTATGTACCAACCTCATATAATATTCTATGTAGACAATATTTCCTTCTTCATGTAGTTCAGTTGCAGACTTTTTACAGACCAAAGCATAGTTAAAAAAAAAAAACAGTAACAGGAAAAAGAGCAGTTTTCTCACCATAAATATTTCCTCACAACTCAACCAGAGGTTTGTAAAAAGACTTCCAGGAATCTTTGATATTCTATGGCCCTTCTGGGATTCAAAGTTTTGAAAATGCCTCTTTTTGTTTCTTCAACATCAAAAGTCAGGCAATTCTATTTTTCTTTTTTTCTTTTTCTTTTTTAAAAATACCCTCATCAAATATATACAGACAAAGCAAAATCACTGTGAACATTTTTTTGGGGGGGGAAAGCTACCAAATTCAGTTTTGTAAGAAATACCGGTCATCATGCAGAAATTTTCACATCTATGAATTTTTTTTTCAAAATACACACATAGTACTTTTTTTAAAAAAAGGAATTCTGTGTCAAGTATAACTCAAAATAAATACAAATTCACAAGTCGAGCTATCAAATACTTCATATGGGGTAAACAACATTCTCTTCCCACTAGATCGCTAGATCTGTAACAGCCAGCGATTGTCCCTTCGGAACATCCTAAAACCACACACGTTCTCATCCATGGGCCCTCCCAGCCTCTGAGCACTTAACTCTCACAGTACCTAGCCCAGGCAGGGGTGGCTCTTGCTGTCCCACACAGCCCCCAGATTTACCTAGCATGAGGCAAGGGATAGTGAGCCTGGAGGCTGCTATCGGCTAGAGGACGACCACGCCCCCCCCCCGGGGTGACAGCGCTGTGCAGATGATAGGACCCCAAGGCCAGAAGGACCTGGTCCAAGCTGACAAGTGGGTGCCAGCTGGACAAGCCCACTGCTCTAGCCGATCTCTTGTGGCCTGTGCAGCCTGGGTTCTCTTCTGCCTATGTAGCAGGTGCATGTAGCCCCGGGCCAGGGCCCCTTGGCTGGTTTTGTTGGTTCAGGCGTTTGTGTTCACCCTCTGTTTACAGGGTCTGCTACTGTTTCCTGTGGGATGACTGACAGCGACAGCTCCTTCCCGGGGTGCAGAAGCCTTGGCCCAGAGCTGCCCCAGCTCACCCTGACGGACCCGGAGCTGCTGTCCAGGGAGCAGAAGAGCCAGGGCAGTGCCCAGGGGTGGCTGGAACCCAGCTGGAGGGCTTGCCCTTCCCCAATTCCCCACCCCCTTTCCTGCCCCGGGGTGGGGTGGGGTGCTGCTGGGACACTCACCCCACGTCCTCACTTACACTCGAGACCTCTGCTTCACGCTTCACTCTAACTCCTCTACTGCACAAAGCATTTTCATTTGAAAACAAAAGGCCGCCGAGTACCAGGCAGGCATCCATCGGCCTTGGTAAACATTGAATCTCATGCCCGTTTTGTGGTCTGCTTTTTTTTTTTTTTTTCTTCCCTTTCCCATAGAGGCACAATGTCGGGACAAAGTCAAGGGGCCCAGCCGTGCTGGCCAGTTCCTGCCAGCACTCCCTTGGAAGAGACAGAAGATGGCACTTCTTGCTGGGGGTGGGAGGTGAGGTGGGGGTCCTGCCTGCAGTCATCGCCCCCTTCTTCCAAATGCAAAGTTCTGCAGCTTACCTCTGGGCTGTGCATGCAGGGACTGGGGAGGCCCAGGTGAGTAGTGGTGGTAATGGCACCCAGGGCAAGGCAGGGTGCTCCAGGGCAGGGCAGGGTAGGGAGCAGGAGGGATCAGGGGAAGATGGGGAGGGGTGCAGGCTCTTCATTCCTTCCCCCTAACCTCTGCCTGTCCCTGGTGCCACTCTCCAAATGGAGTTCTTTATTCTTGGAGAGATGACACTCCTCTGGCCTCCAGACTCTCCCAGTGCCTCTCACTAAAACTAGGTTCCAAGGCCAGAAGCCCTGGTCCAAGCTGACAGAGCCAGGCCAGTGTCCTCCCTGTCCAGGTGGCTTCCTGGCTGGGATCACCACCTGCATCAAGGCCTGTGCATCCCATGGGAGAGGAGGGGCCTGACAGAAGGGGCAGGAGGAGGGGGCAAGATGGGATACAGCCCAGGACCTAGGGTTTCCATGCTCCTGACCTTGGCCTCTCTGGGTCTGTGGGGGGTGGGTGTGCAGCTCACCAGTGCACTGCCAGTGACATCAGAGGTGGGCGTGGTCTGGGCCCTCCTGTGGGCAGGGCCAAAAAGGAGCCACTGCCTGGTGGCAGCTGCACCTACAACAGGAACAGGTTTCTGTCCATTGCGCTTGCTGACAGCACTAGGGCAAGGAGGCAAGGCTGGGTGACCTGCAAGATTCTGGGATTCACAGTAAATTTAGTGCACTTGTGGCCAATGCAAGGCTGACACCCCAAAGGGGATCTCAGAGAAGTCTAAGGGGAGGAAGGAACCCCCAAAACTGGGCACTGACTCCTGTGCCCCCCCCCATACCCAAATGGAGCCCCGGAGGTACCCTCCTCCCACCCCCATGGGGCCACAAGGTCAGCAACACTGTCAACACACAGAACAAGGATCAGGAGCCCCCAGACCCAGGGTACACGCAGCAGGGGGCTGTCTTTTCGGGCTGGCAGGAGGATGGCTGTGGGTAGGCCACTGGGCAGGTGGGCGGCGGTCACTGCACACGGCGGCAGTAGTAGCCCAGGACCTTGCACTTCTCGCACAGGTGCTGTGGGTGCTCCTTGCTCTGGTCTGACACGTCCAGGCCGTCTGGCTTCTCTAGGGGTCTCTGTACAGAGCAGGAGGACGGGGGCCCAAGGAGGCAGGGGAGAGAGAGAGAAAGGGAGAGAAAGAGTGAGGCAGAGAGGATCTGTAGCCAGAAACCACTCTGCCAAGGTCCCAGGGCGCTCTTCCTGCCTCCTGCCTGTGGTCTGTCTCCAGGGCTGAGGCCCTGGGTGCCATGGTTTTACCTCCAGAAGCTTGGGGGCACGCAACATTTGGCTCTCCCCATGACCTGAAGCTCACAAAAATCCAGCACCCAGCACCCCTTCCTGGAGCTCCCAGTTGCAGCCATGCCAACTCAGGCTGCCTTGGGAGCCATGGTAGGCTGTTCACAACCTTCACTCCACAGGTGCAGCCAAATGCATCCAGCCCACATCCGGGGCCTGGCCCTGCTCAGTGAGTCATTGCACCAACAGGACCTCACTGTTTTCTTTTTTAAAAGATTTATTTATTTTTTATTGAAAGGCAGATTTACAGAGAGAAGGAGAGACAGAGAGAAAGATCTTCCATCTGTTGGTTCACTCCTCAAGTGGCCGCAACAGCTGGAACTGAGCTGAGCTGATCCGAAGCCAGGAGCCAGGAGCTTCTTCCGGGTCCCAAGGCTTTGGGCCATCCTCTACTGCTTTCCCAGACCACAGGGAACTGGAAGGGGAGTGGAGCATCCAGGACACAAACCAGTGCTATATGGGATCCTGGTGCATACAAGTCAAGGATTTAGCCACTAGACTACCGCACTGGGCCCAACTTTGGTGTTTCTTAATGGGAACATGGAGGTAGCCCAGGTGACTGGCCACTTGCTCGCCACGTGACTCAGGGAGTCTTACTGTCCACTCCTGGGAAATGGACTGTTCACAGTGCTTCACTGGCAGGGTTTTAATGTTTGTGAATGGGGTGGTGTTGGATGTGGACCAATTTCAGTCTGTCCCCTGCCCCCTCTTCTGCCCTTCCTTTCTGGGATCTCCAACACCAAGAAAGCCGTGTTTCCTAGAACATGCACACAAGCCCCTGTGAGCCCCTCTGGAGTAAGGGGTCTTTTGGCTGGGGCAGAGCAATACTTTGCTCTCCAACAATAGCCCCACCCCCATGTGGCAGAGAGCAAGGGCACTGGTGAGGGAGCCGTGGGACACGGGAACTTGTGCCAGTGACTGTGACCCACAGAGGGCTGAGGAATGGTTGCCACTTGGCTGGACTGTGAGCCTCTCAGAGGCACTGGTACCTAGAGGGGTGATGGTGAGCATGGAGGGGATCTGATCACAGCATCATAAAGCCCATGGCTGAGCATCTGGGCTTGTGCTCCCAGAGGAAAGATGTGGGAAAGGTGGGGTACCAGGGCCACTGCTGTGGTGCAGTATGTTAAGCTGTCACTTGGCAATTCTGGCATCCTGTAAGGGCACTGGTTTGAGTCCTGGCTGCTGTACTTTGCACCCAGCTCCCTGCTAATGCACCCAGGAAAGCAATAGCAGGTGGTCCACGTGCTTGGGTCCCTGACATTCACATGGGAGTCCCAGACGGGGTTCTGGGCTTCTGGCCTTGGCCTCAGCCAACCCTGGCCATTGTGGCCATCTGGAGGAGTGAGCCAGCAGATGGAAGATCTTTTTCCTTCTCTCTGTCAATCTGCCTTTCAAACAAACGAATCTTAAAATGGTGGAGGGTTGTCTCAAGGGGCATTCAGATGGCTAGCTTCTCTGTCCAGACTTCACACAGGCCATGGGGAGGAGAGAGAGTTTGACCTCACTTCTCAGACCTAGGCTTCCAGGCCAGCTCTGCCTGCTACAGAGCTGTGTGACCTGGGACTGGCCTCCTGACTCCTCTGAACCTCCACCTCACCATCTATGAAGGGGATGTTGAGGTTATTCTCAGAAAGTGTGAGAAAGCATTACCTATGGAAGTTGTGCATATTTGTTCTTAAGAGGAGGGGACGCTGGCTGGCACAGGGTAAAAGTCGAAGGAGGTATTTCAAGGTGACAGGGCCTAGGAAGGTCATATCCCTGCTTTCCCAGACGCCCCCGGCACCTGCAGTAGCCATGGAGCTGAGGAGCTTCCTGTCTGCATCCTAAGAGAGACCTTCTGACTGGGGAATGGGGTGCACTCAGCTCCTGGGACTCTCATCCCAGACATCCCAGCCATGCAGGGGCCTCACGGCTCCTTTGTGAGGCTCCCCTCTATCAGACCAAGGCCAAGCCTGGCTTCTAGTGCCTTCCACCATTCCATCCAGCCCTGCTGCTCAGGGCCCCCTCTGTGAAGTGGCTTTCCAGAAGAAACTGAGACTCCATTAAAGATCTCGAGTGTGTGTATGTGTTCTCCAGCTGCCTTCCACCTCCATGCTGTGGGGGCCCTGATGGTGGCTCTCACTCCCACTCTACACTCCATCTCAGATCTGGCATGCTCAGATCCCTGGCTCCTGAGCCGTGGGCAGCACTCACCCTCCTCCAGCACTGCTCCCTGTGTTTGTGGAGGTGCCTTCCTGTACTGGTATAGTTTTCTCCCTTAGGAAGTCATGAGTCCCTGGTGGGCTGCACATGGCCAGCCTCAGTGTCCATCCCCTGGACCTTCATCCTAGGAGCTGACAAAAGTCAGTAGGCTCCGTGGTGGAGGCTGTCTCTGGTTTGTCTTGAAGATTGTTCTGGGGGCCAGGATGGTGGTGCAGTGAGTTAAGCTGACGTCTGCCATGCCAACATCTCACATAAGGGTGCTGGTTTGAGTCTCAGCTGCTCTACTTGACATCCACCTCTCTGCTAATGGCCTGGGAGAGCAGTGCAGGATGGGGCAAGCTCGTGGGACTCAGCATCTGCGTGGGAGACCTGGAAGAGGCTCCTGGCTCCCTGTTTCAGATCAGCCCAGCTCTGACTGTTTCAGCTATTTGAATGGACTAGTAGACGGAAGATCTCTCTGTTTCTCTTTCTTTGCAACTCTGCCTCTCAAATAAAACATAAATCATTTTTAAAAATTAATATTCACTTAAGAATATTAGGAATATTCATTTAGGTTCATCCATTTCCTAGGGTTTGTATCTGTTTTTGATAGAGAAACAAATGAGATGATTATCTTGAAGTACTTTAGAACCATAATGAGAGGCTGCTGTTGTGATGCAGCTGGCTGAGTCATGTGCTGCAGCACCAACATTTCATATCAGAACACTGGTTCAAGTCCCAGCTGCTCCACTTCCCATCCAGCTCCCTCCTAATACACCTGGGACAGCAGCAGAAGACAGTCCAAGTGATTGGGGCCCTGCACCCACGTGGGAGACCTGGATGCTGTTCCATGCTCCTGCCTTCAGCCTGGCCCAGCCCTGGCCATAGTGGCCATTTGGGATGTGAACCAAATGACAGATGATTCCTCAATCTCTCTCTCTGTCTCTGTCTCTCTCTCTTTTTCTCATGCTGCCTTTCAAGTAAATCAATCCATCTTTATCACCATAAGGAATTCTACAAGACTTGGTCATTGCTGTGTAAGCTTCAGCAAGCCACTTAATCTCTTTGGCTCAACTTTCTCCTCCATAAAACGGGGTTCATAAGCGAGCTGGCTGGATAAGTTTGCTGGGAAGAGAAACGAAGGCAATGCCCGTAGGATGATGAGATTAATGACCACTGCAGGAAAGGCCCTGGAAACACAGGGCAGTATTGCCCTCATGTGCCATCACTGTCACGATGTGGGGCAGAGGGACCAGGAGCCCTAGTGGGCAGGGTCTTGCTCTCATCCGAGCTAGGTCCATGGCCTTATTAACACCACTCCTCTGAGGACCATTGGGCGAGGCGGCACCTGGGGGGTAAACGATCAGGAGGATTCCCCACCTCTCAGCAGCTGGGACCACCCCCACACCCTGCAGTGTTTTCTTCTGGAGGGGTCTGCAGGGCCTACAGCCGGGAGCTGCCCCAGCTGGAACCTGACAGGAAACAGATGTGAGGGTTGTATCCGGGGTGAGGGAGGACAGCCTGGGTCAGACTAGTGGCGGGATCACTCCAGCCCTCTCCCACCCCCAGTAGGAGAGGTCCTGAGCATTCCCCTCCCATCAGCTCTTCAAAGGCTCCTGACTGCTGGGAAGATGGGAGGGGGCACACCTCACCCCGCCTCAGTACCCCCTTCTGTCATGGCCTCTCTGCAGGAAGAAAAATTCTGAGAATCTGCAAGGAGAGTCTGGGCACTGGGCATAGGTGATCCCTTGAAGTAGGCTGCTCTGGTGACCCATGTATGTCCCACCTCTGCCAGGTGCCTCAGTGCCCTTCTGCCCACAGTAGGTGTTCGGTGAATGCTGGTGAGATGACAGGGAGGGGAGGAAGAATAGCCATGTGTGCTGGCAAGATGCCGGGGAATGCTGGGGACAGGGAGGCTGTGCTTGGGCTGAGCCTGGCAGGATGGAGGTGAGGCCACGGGCTCCCCTCTCCTTCACCCTATCTCGGATGACACAAGTGAAGACCAAATTGGAGTAAGCAAGGAACAAATAAACAGGGAGGGTCGCCCAAGCAGGGGAAGAGCCACCCTCTGGGGAGTTATTGGGGGAACTCGGCCACCTGCCCGCTTACCTGCTTGTGTGGGTACACGTTGATGTGGCACTTGATGCACTCCTGCCCCATGTTGGCCCATGAATTGCCGCTCATCCATTTTCTCTTGCACTTGGGGCACTTGTACTCACCGAAGCAGCGCTTTTTGCCCTGGTATGGTGTCAGGCCCTCACCTTTGGGGCGTGCCTGTGGGACAAGAGGGAAGCAGATACAGGGGACAGGATGTAGGAGGCCAGGGAGATGCCCTCCTGGGGTCCCCCCACAGCCTCTGCTGTCAGCCTTCAAGTCCCCAGTCTGCCTCCATGTGGCACCTTCTGGACACACTCCCCCATGCTACTCCTTCCCCTGTTTGAGCAGACATGGAATCCATGGCTGGGAGGTCTGCCTGGGGTGCCTTCTTAAGACAGATGTCATGAAGGGGCAGCTGGAGGCAGTGTGGACCTGCATGTAGCTGCTTATGGCTCCTCGGGTGCTGCTGTTGAAACAGTTACAGAAGAAACCACGCGGGCACAGAAATTGGTGTACACTGAGAATGAACTCCCCCTTGTCCCTGCTATGGCCTCACGCTCCCTTACCTGGAGGCCAACTTTCTCTCTCTGAGACCACCCTGAGGAAGAACTTGACCTTCACAAGTACACTTATGCACACATACATGAATGGAAACAAGTTGGAGGTCTTGTTCTAGCTTCCTTTTTTCCTTTCTAATCTAATAGATCTTGGAATCCCCCATCCAGGACAAGCAGAGCTGTCACACCGTGCTGTAGGCCAGTCCACCATACAAGGTCAGGTTCACAGTGACGCCACAATACATCACTCTTTCTAAACATCTAGTAGTTTTCATTCTTTTGTTATTCCCAGCAAGGTTACGACGACTGTGTGTATGTTGTACATGTGTGGGTATTTCCCAGGATACATTTCTAGAAGCTGGGCCAGTGAGCATACGCACTGCTCACTTGTGACGAAAACACCAAATTGTCAGAGCCCTCCCACGCTGCAGGTGAGCAGGGCAGCATAGTACATCACCCAGCGACAGAGCTTCCTTACTGCCACACCGACAGGGAGAACATCCTGGCACAGTGGTGGCTCTTGGCTGGGATGTCGGTCACCATGAGCCAGGCGCAGTCTCCCTGCGCATACCACAACCGTCTGTGTTCACTGCATGAACTGTTTTCTGATTTGTTTTTCCTGCGAGTTTATATTTTCTTGCTAATTTGTAGCTACACCTCATATAGGAGCATCTCCTGCACACAGTTTTTAGAAACAATTTGATTCACAGATCCTGCACTGCACCCATTTAAAATGGGCACCTGACTGGTTTCACTGCATGGTCCATGTTGTACCATCATCACCACAGTCTCATTTTTCAAAGTATTTGTCACTTTCATAAATAGCCCTCCACCCCATAATAGTTCTTCCGTATCTCCTCCTAAATATCTCATATCCCACCCAGCCCTAGGCAACCACTAGCATACAGTCCATCTTAATTTCCCTCCTGAGATATAAATGAGCCATGGCCATGTTTTCCCTTCTGTGTATGACTCCTTTCACTGAGTGGGAGGTTTCCAAAGCTCAACTCTGTCACAGCACATACAGTACTTCATCCCTTTCTGTTGCCAAATAATACCTCACCACGAGAACCTGCCATGATCTACAGACCCATTCTTTAGATTGGGTAAATAGATTTTGGACTACAGAGTGTTTTTATAAGCCATATTAATTACATCCATTTCTGAACAAGGGAGACTTCACACATACATGGGAGCACATGGGTCTAGAAGCCTTGCTGACCAGGGTCAGGGTGGCTGGTCCACCAGGCCAATTGCATACACATCTTCCTCATCTTCTCTGTGCCTACCAGCCGTTCACTACTTGACCCGGCACCTAGGGCTAGAATCCACCTGCTAGCCCTCAAGTCCCACCTTGCACAGAGACTTGGGGACCTCACCGAGTTTCAGAAGCCCCAGGCTGTGTCACAGCTGGTTTCTGCAGTAACACTTTCCCCAGAGGAGCACTCATCGATGATATCCAGAGGAGGAGTGCTCTCGGAGTCCCCAGGATACGGAAATGCACACTTGCTCAAAACAGACATCAGCATTGCACGAGCACTTCCTCCCATAGACTTCAAATCATCCTTAGCTTATTTGTAACACCGAATACAGTGTTGATGCTATGCCAACAGTGGCCACCCTGCCTTGTTGGAACAACAGATGCAATTTTTGTGCTTTTATTCCTTGGTGGGTGGAGCCCACAGCTGTGGGGTACATGGGGCAGAAGGCTGCGTGTCAGCCGCAGAGTTTGGGCTACTAGCTTCTAGTTTTGGGCTGTGATCTTGAGCAGGTTGGCAAAGGCAATCACCACAGAGGGTAAGGCTGTTGTGGACTTAGGTGGGCTGAGACCTCCAAATCCAGGAGCTGAACCCTGCTCCCCCTCCCCACCAGGCGCCCTCAGTCTTGACTAGTGTGCATGGGGCAGTGCAGCGACACCCACAAAAAACCGATTCTTCCCTTTTTTGCCCTTACCAGAATCTTGGGCAAAAGTCGCAAAGGGAAGGAAGGGATGGAGGGCACAAATCTCAACTTACAAAGTGACAATAGCACCACTCTGATCTTTGAGCTGGCTTGGAAGACACTGTCCAACTGTCAGAGGGAAGCTAGTTATGCCAAGGAGGACATGGAGGGTGCAACCAGTTTGTAGCAGAGGGGTGATTTTGTCTGAAGTCGCTGTAGGTCTCAGGCTAGTGGGGGCTCCCCTGCCCAACCTGGTGCCTCAGCCTCCCTTCTCTTGCCATTCCTAAGAAAAGTTCATGCTGGGCTCACTCTGCCACATTCCTGCCTCCAGAGGGCTTTACTTCAACCCCATCACAAGGGTTTATACAGGGATGGGAGGAACCAGACACACGGTAACTGGAGTGGAGGGAATATGGGGTCTGTTGCCAGCCAGGCCCACTCTGAGGTCTGAGTCTGCAGGTCCTGGGGTCAGAGAGCTACCACAATGCTGAAGCTATGCCAGCCTGCTTGTCAGAGGAACGATGGCAAGAAAAAAGGCTGCACAGGTTCAGTGCACATGCACTATCTGAGTTTCCATAGCCAGGGCAAAGGGCAAAGGTCAAAGTGTCAGAGGGAGGGGTCAAGTCAGCCCTGGACACAGACTGCAAAATCATTTCCCACTGGTCTCCCCTTCAGCAATGACCAGGAAGAAGATTCAGGCAGAAAAAGGAGACAGAGCATAGGCCAAGAGCCAGGATAAAGGAGAAGCATGAGGGCTGGGCCAGGAAACATGGCTCCAGGTGCGGTTAGAGGGGTGGCCGCCCTGCAGCAGCCCATCGGGGCCCAGTGATGGGATACCCGGCCTCCTGTGGGAAAATCCAGCTCGGACACTGTGGTGCATGTCCCAGAGGCCAGCCTCCCAGCCTATCTGTGGGACCTGGGGCCAGTTGCTCAGTATTTCTGCAGCTTGCTAATGACACAGCTGCCAGCCCTGGCTATGATGCGTGTGTGTGTGTGTGTGTGTGTGTGTGTGTGTGTGTGTGTGTGTGTGCACGCACATGAAGCTCCTGGCTCAGGGCCTCCCACAGAGTTGGTGCTCAGCGGCCAGTAAGCAGCACCTTCCTGAGACCAGTCAAGGGATCCAGGGTGACCCAGAGGTATGGGCTGAGGCCCATGGCACAAGGAAGAAGATGCTAGAAAACAGGAAGGGAAGCCTGGTGTCGGGCTCTCTACCCCTGGCTTTGGAAGGTGACAAAGGCTGATGGTTGTTGCTTTATGAAACTCTCAAGGAAGGACCTAGAAAAACAAAAGGAAGGCCACAATAGCCCTGGAGACATGGCTAGCAGGAGAAAATGAAGAGGAGTGGCGTTCTTGTGCTAGGCTCTGAGGCCGAGCTGGTCCCTCTTCAAGTCTGACCAGAACCCTGCACAGTGGGAAACAGCAGCACTCCGTTTCACAGACAGTAAGACTAAGGTGCAGGAAGGGACAGGACTTGTCAAAGAGCCTCCATGTGTGTGAAAGGCTTTCTGGGTGCATGTCCGCTGTCACCCCCAGTGCGTCTGTTTCAGGAGGCTGAAGCCAGCACTGGGCAAGAGAGATACCAGCCCCTCAGCCCACCCTGCCCCACCCCAGCAGGGAATTCTATAAGACTGCGAATCCTGCCCCATCCAGCCTGGGGTCAGTGGTCAACAGGCAGAGTGGCCAGAAGGGCCACTGGCCTGGGGCCAGCCTGCGTCACATCCTGTAACGATTTGGTGCCAGCCATGTTGTCTGTGCTCACAGAGGCGCACCTGTCAAAACAGCAGCAGATTTGCTCAAGTGCTTGGGGCCCTGTACCCACGTGGGAGATACGCAGAAGTTCCATGGTTCCTGGCTGTGCTTGCCTCAGCTCTGGCTGTTGCAGTCTTCTGGGGAGTGAACCATTGGGCAGAAGACCTCTCTGTCTCTCCTTCTTTCTGTAATTGCCTTTTAGATTAAAAAGGAAAAAAGGTATAAATTTCAAAAAAAAAATGAGAGGACGGAATGAAGAGGATGATTGTCAGGCTACTTCCGCAGGCCCCTCCTGCCCACTAGGGGGTGCCCTGTGCTTTTTCAAGGTGAGAGCCTGCATGGAATGAATATGATGGCTCTGCCACCGCCTCCCTTGGGTGCCCGCAGGGTGTTGGGCCTGGGCTGGTCTCATGGTTTTCAAGCTAAGAATTCACTTGTTGGACCTGGCGCAATGGCTCAGTGACTAAAGTGCTCATGTTGCATGTGCCGGGATCCCATATGGGCACTGGTTCGTGTCCGGGATGCTCCACTTCCATTCCAATTCCCTCCTTGTGGCATGGGAAAGCAGTAGGGGATGGCCCAAAACCTTGGGGATCTGCACCCCCATGGGAGACCTGGAAGAAGCTCCTGGCTTCTGGCGTTGGATTGACTCAGCTCTGGCTGTTGTGGCCATTTAGGGAGTGAAACTGTGGATGGAGGACCTTTCTCTCTGTTTCTCTTTCTGTAAATCTTCCTTTCCAATAAAAAATAAATACATATTAAAAAAAATTTTACTTGCCACCATCTCCTTTACTCCCTCTATCCCACCTGCTTCCCCAGGTTTATGGGACAGGAGTCTCCTACATACAGAAGACCCTATGGTCTTTGCTAATTTCAGGAGGACATTGAACCCAGGAGGGCAGCTGAGGGCTGTGCCCTCTCAGTGCATTC